CATCACCCTGGCCGTGGCGGGGCGGGGCGTGGCGGGGCGTGGCGGGGCGTGGCGGGGCGTGGCGGGGCGTGGCGCCGGGGCGTTCCAGCGGATTGCGCCTGTTTGCTGTGCGCCGCCACCCCGCTCGGCCCGGGTGGGCCGTGGTGGTGGCCTGCTCGGAGGGCTGCGGGAGTTGGTGGTTGCGATTTGGATTTCGGAGCCCGGCCCGGCCCGACCCGGCCTGGCGTGGTGGGTGCGGTGGCGGTGCCCTCCTGAAGCCCTGGGCCTCCGCCCCGGCCACGGCCTGGGCCTCGTCGGCCTGCTGCTTGGCGGCTTGGCCGAGGCCCGGCGCTCCAAGTCGGTTAATGACGGCTTACCGTCGTGAAACCCGATCTCGCCCGGATCACGGAGTCCCGGCCGTCCCGGCCCCGCCGTGGCGCGCCGCCCAACCCGCCAACTTGCTCATAGCTCGCATGGGCCTTGGCAGCATCGCCGCCATCCGGGACAACAGTCCGCTATCGCCGCCGCGCCGCCGCCTCACAGTGGGCCGGAAGACCGGTGGTCTTGACGCGTTTTGAGCTCCAGAGTCGCTAAACAGAACTCGAACCGAACGTGTGACCCCCACCAATCGATTGCTCTCCGAACGAGGAATCCATTGGTGGGGTCACACGTTCGGTTCGCGCCCTGTTCAGCGACTCTGGAGCTCAAAACGCGTCTAGAGTTCTGGCCGCCAGCGCCGGCGCCGGTCTTCTGGCTCACTGTGTGCCGCCGCCTCCTCGTGTACTGCTTTATCGCAGTACATCCATCCCCGTTTTTTTGCGCCGCAACTTGAATTTTGACGTGCGGGTTACTCGATGCCGGAGGGCAATCTGCGGTGAAGGCTGTCGATCAGGGCGTCGCGCTCCGGCCGCCAGCGCGCCAGCCCGGCCGGCTTGTTCCAGTGAATGGTACAGCGTGCGTGATATGTGACCCACCTGTCTGCCTGCGTGATGAATGGCACGGCTGCCTCCCCAGGGAAGAGGGGTGGGGGAGGGGAGGGGGCTCCACGCCGCTCCAGGCTGCAGCTGATGACGACGGGATGCGCGGCCCCCGCAGCCGCCAGCCAGGCAGCCAGCAAGCCAGCCAGGCAGGCAGGCAGGCAGGCAGGCAGGCAGCCAGCCAGGCAGCCAGCCAGCAAGCCAGCCAGGCAGGCAGCAAGGCAGGCAGCCAGCCAGCCGCGCGAAAGCAACGCGAAAGCCAGAGATTGGTTTTTGTGCTGATTTCGATGAATAATACCTCACACCTCCGGGCGTGCAATTGAATAACGGGCTTCGTTTTGTTCTCGCTGCAGTGGCGTGGCCGCGGCGGGGGCGGCGGGGCCGGTGATGCGATACCACGCCGGGCCGCGGCGGGCGGCACGCCACGCCACAGGACGGGCGTGTTAAATTGCTCCCGGGCCCGGATGAGTCCTGGGATTACTGGCGTGGCGGCGGGGGCGGCGGGGGGCCGCGGGGCGACGAAAAAGCGGTTAATATTCCTTGCCAATTAAATAGATTAGGACGGCCGCGCCACGCCGCCATGCCGGTAGTGCGCAATTCGCTTGACTCGCTGTGCTTTTATGAGCAAGCCATATTTTGTTGGTGGCGCGGCGTGGTGGGGTGTGGCGTGGTGGGGCGGGGCGCACAGTGGGCCAGAAGACCGGGGCCGGCGGCCAAAACCCGAGACGCGTTTTGAGCTCCAGAGTCGCTAAAGAGGACTCGAACCGAACGTGTGACCCCAACAATGGCTTGCTCTCCGAACGAGGAATCCATTGATGGGTCACACGTTCAGTTCGAGTCCCATTTGGCGAGTCTGGAGCTCAAAACGCGTCGGGGATTTTGGCCGCCGGCCCCGGTCTTCTGGCCCACTGTGGCGGCGTAGCGGGGCGGGGTGAGGGTGCCCCGACCGCGGCCAGGCCAGGCCGCCTGCAGCTCGGCGTGCCGCGCGCCGAGCGAGGGAAGCGTCTCCAACATCGCGGAAGAGGTGACGGCGTGCGAATCGACGCGCCGCGGGGCCGCCATGTCTCCGCCGCGGCGACAGCGGCGACACGGCTCTGGTGTAATGCTTAACAGCCGCTCGCCTCATCATCCCAGTCGCCGCTAAACTTTTGAGCCCCGCCAACAACAGCAGCAGCAACAACAGCAGCACTGGTGGCATCCACCGCAAACTTTGAGTCCAGGGCGGGGCGCGGCGCAGCGCGGGGCAAGGCGAGGTTCGCTTCGGCGCGTGTGTTTTGTTTCCACGCAGTCTCTGCGCGCCGCCACGCCGCCACGCCCCAGCTCGGCATAAGCGAAACGATTAGCGGTCTACTGTACTCGGAGTGCACACTGTACTCGTTTCATTAAAAGTTGGCCAGGAATGCGGCGCGCTCGGCCGGGCGGCGCGCGGCGGGGCGGCCCGGGTGGCCTGCCTCTGTTCTCATCATTAATGCAGGCGTGCGCGACGAATAATGCATGCCGGCACGCCAATCCGGCCGCCGCCTTCTCGAAAAGCTGAAAAAACGTGTTTTCCAGACGCGCTGCCCGCGCGGCTCCTCGAGGCTGCAGCCCGGCGATAGGGCCTTAATCCGCGGCAGGGACGGGAAGGCCGTCGCCACCTTGCCTGCCTTGGCGGTGCAAGACGGAATAATAATGTGCGTCCTTTATCGAATTTGCGGCGTGGCGGCGCGGCCAGGCCATGCGCCATTTATCTCGGGAAATCTATAATAAACTTCATCACGACCACCGGGAGGTCCGCCCGCCCGCGCCGCACGCACGGAGTGGCGACGCCCCTACACGCCGCGTCTTGCTGAGCGCCCCACGCCGCCGCCCACGCCGCCGCCCAAGCCGCCGCCCACGCCGCCGCCCACGCCGCCGCCCACGCCGCCGCCCACGCCGCCGCCCACGCCGCCGCCCACGCCGCCGCCCAAGCCGCCGCCCACGCCGCCGCCCAAGCCGCCGCCCACGCCGCCGCCCACGCCGCCGCCCACGCCGCCGCCCACGCCGCCGCCCACGCCGCCGCCCACGCCGCCGCCCACGCCGCCGCCCACGCCGCCGCCCACGCCGCCGCCCACGCCGCGCCACGGGTGGTTTCTCACGATCCTCTCCGTCCCCCGGGCGGCCGGGCGGTGGGCCGGGTGGCCGCAGGACTCGGTTAGACCGTACAGAGCCGCAAGGAGCACGGCCAGGGCCGCCCCACTGGCAGCGGGAAAAAACGGAAGGCCTAGGGGGGGAATCGAACTTGGAGCCGATTTTCCTCGTTGGACGCAGCCACGTGGAACGCCGGGCCGCGCCTACACCCTAGAGCCAGACCGCCTGCTTGGCGTCGTGCTGGGACTGTCCCTTCGCTGCGAGTGCAGCCTGCAGCCCTGCAGGCGGGCGGCAGTGACCACCGACAAGACTTTACACTCCGCGCTGGGGGGACGGGGAGGGGTGGGAACGGATGCTGCTCGCTCGGAGTGCGTTCGGATTGAGTCAGGTCGGCACGGCATTGCAAGTGATGGCAGCGCAGCGCGGCGGGGAGGTTTAGTGCCCCTCCCCCCCCTCCCCCGGCGGCGTGTTCGCCCCGTTGCTCCCCGTGGCCGCCATTCTCACCTGTTCGCGGTCTGTCGGCAGGAACAACATGTTTCCCCCATCGACAAATCACAACGGGCCACGGACATGGCGTCCATTTTCTCCTGTCAGCCGTCAGCCCCGGGGAGCAGACGGGCGGACGGACGGGCTGACAGGCAGACAGACAGACGGTTGATTATGGGTCTCAAGGTAGGCAGGCCAGGGGCACGTGATGACTCCCGGAGCTGGGCAATCAAGACGGTGAGCGCTCCGGGGCCGGAACAGCCCGGAACCCACCGGAGTCGGCCAGGCCAGGCCGGGCCGGCAGTTGCCGCAGGCGATCTCCCGGGCGCCCCGAGGAGCCTGCTCTGGATCTCGGGGGCCTTGGAGCGGCTCGGAGCGCCTCGGAGCGGCCCCCTGGAACCCTGGAACCCTGGAACCCTAGAACCCAAGGAGAGCCGCAGAGACGGTCGGACGGGACGGGACGGCCGCTCCGAGGCTCACAAGTTGACAGGGGATCGAAAACGCGCAGCGCGCGCAGCGACCCAGGGAAAGGGTGCTAAGACGTATGTTGGAGTAGCAAGGTGGGCGTGGCGGGGCGGGGCGTGGCGGGGCGTGGCGGGGTGGGGCGGGGCGGGGCGGGGCGTGGCGGGGTGGGGCGGGGCGGGGCAGGCCCACTGCACCCCTTTCCTTTCGGATTTACCGTGCCCGCCGGATGAGGGGCAATTTGAAAAGAGATATCGCAAGACCCATCGCGCCGCCCTCCGAGGGGGTCACGCCGGGCCCATGCCGGGCCAATGTGGACGTTCCCTGTGGAGCCTGCGGAGACAAGGAGAGCGGGGGAGGGGGGCCGTGCCGGGCTGTGCCGTTTTGTGGCGTGGAGGGAGAGGAAGGAGGACCGGTGGCCCGCTTAAACGCTTCCACCTTTCGTGCTTTAGTGCCCTGACATTAAACTGAGCTGCCCGCCCTCCTGTCCTCGCTGTCTCTGCTTGCTCGTCCGCCGTCCCGTGCAGTCCGCCTCCGTCTCGGCGCTTCTCTTTGTCTGCTGCCACACTGTGTGCGTGCCGTGGGCGTCGCCGTCGTCCAGACTAGACGGCGCACTTCCGCCTCGCCGCCAGACTCTCGGTGCACCCCGCCCCGCCCCGCCCCGCCCCGCCCCGCCCCGCCCCCCGCCCTGCCCCGCCCCGCCCCGCCCCGCCCCGCCCCGCCCTGCCCCGCCCTGCCCCGCCCCGCCCCACACCGCCGCGGCGAGCCACATGGCGCCCGCGCACATAATGGAATTTTTTATGCATACATTAAGGCGCGTTCCGTTCCGGCCCTTGCCACCCTCCTTATTCGGAAGCTGGGCGCGCCGCGCCCTGCAGCCCTGCAGCGCGTCTGTGGCGTGGCCGGCGTGGCGCGGCACCGCTGCAATATTCGAATGAAATGAGGAGGACTCGTGTATAACTCTGTTTGGCTCTGTCTGTTGCTCAGGGATCGATATCATGGTGGGCGGGCCCGGCCTCGGCCCCGGCCCCGGCGCCGTGGAGTCCGTGACGCTGTGCCAGGACTGCTGGAAGGTGCCCGCCAACAACGACCGCCTGGAGCAGCTGGAGCAGCCCGGCTACAACCTGCTGCCCGGGCAGCACGGCCGCCTGCCCTTCGTCACGACCAGAGGTGAGTCCTTATCTTTCGCCCTCGCCCCACCCCGCGGCGCGGCGCGGGGTTCGAATCCCAGCGGGGAAGTCACAGCCTAGAGTGTTTTTTTAAGCACAGACTGGGATACAGGGGCGCAGACCAGGAATAAGCGCTGTAGCCGACCAAAGTCACCGAAATTTTCGCTGGGTTTGTTGACATTTTGAACTACCTCGTGAGACGGTGCTGAGCGGTCAGCGTTCCTGCATGGCCGGACATATAAAACGGGCAGTCTACCCAGTACCAGGATGTTGCAGGAATGCTTTGCCCTCGCTGCAATAGTCAGCCTGATTTGTATTTTAGTTGGCAAAATCGTGATTTTTTTAAAAAAATTGTTGCTGTTTTTTTGTTGTGACGGTGACTCATCCTCCGGTGACTGCGATACATCGCCACGTTTTCGTCGCTCTGTCTGTCTGTCGCTGGGTGCGAGAGAAACAGCGACGACTCTCGTGCAAGCGCACCAACAGCTGCTGGCCGGCGAGGGTGGGAGGGTCGCGCAGGTGTCATGAGAGCGGAGATCGCCTGAAGCAGAGGAGCTGCACATGGATACACCGCTGGCGTGCGTCTGTGTGTGTGACGCTGACTTCCCACAGTGTGGTTGCTGGGGGGAGTCTGGTTAGTTTTGTCACGTGGAGAAAAGTTGGGCTGACGCGGCATCACTAAATGATAAGCAGCTCCGCAACGGAGAAACGGAGGGAGGGGCAGGTGGTGACCAGTGTGAGACCCGGAACAACCCGCAGCTATTCCAAACTTGCTACTTCGGGTGCGGGGAAGGCAGTGCGTCGTGTGTCGCTGTGGCCAGACTCGGCGACGCGGCGACTGCTGTCCCCCACTGGCCTGCGCTCCGTTGCGGCAGCAGGGGCCGGTGTGGGGCCCACAGTGTGGTGCCCAGCCCTGCCCGCCCATTTCCCTCTTGAGAATGCTCTTAGTGAAAGAGTTTCTACCTGGCCCTCATACTCGTAGTCACGGCCGGGAAGGGCAGGACGGGGAGGGGAGGGGGGACCTGTTGACTGAGACTCCCTCTTCTTGGCCTGCTATTGCTCCCGTCTTGGCCCGGGGCACGAGGCACAAGCCACCACGCAAGGCTGTACTTGCCAGCGCGGGGCGGGGCGGGGCTCGCTGGCACCCCAACTTTACGCCCCGCTCCCCCCCACCCCCGTCGACTCCCTCTTCTCCGTCTGACCCGCGAGGAGGGGCCCGCCGCCATATCGCTTCATAAAATATCCCATATCATGATGCGTATTTTATATTTCCGCGTGCGGCGTCGACGGCGCGAGATAGAGAGCGACCTTCACGCCCTCTGTGACAGCCAAAACAAAGAGGGCTGCGCTTGGAGCCGCTGACGCGGGAGAGAGAGAGAGAGAGAGAGAGAGAGAGAGAGAGAGAGAGAGAGAGAGCGGCGGCGGCGGCGAATATACATCCATTTGTCTGAATTGGCGGTGCGCGGCGCCGCAAGGATAACCCGCGGCACGGCAATGACACGGGGAGGAATATAAGAATCCGCCGTCCGGAATTGGATGCTTTATTGCGTGAGGCGTGTCGAGTTTCCTCCTGCAGGGGAAGGCGGCCTGCTTGGCGTGGCCGGCGAGGTAGCGTCACCTCCTTTGTGTCGAGGCGCGACAGGCCGCGAGCACACGATGCGAGCCGTGCGCGTGGAGAGCGGGCATTCAATCTCTCATCCGTGGCAGGGCCGCGCCTTGGCTGGCCTTGGCGCACTCCACTCCACTGCACCACTCCTGCTCGCGCTCCTCCGGCCTCGGCCCGGCCCACTCCCAAAAAGTTGACTACAGCGGCGAAGTTAGCAGCAGGACATGGCCGCGTATGCAGATGACACACACGCGTGCGCGGAAGGGCAGCCGCCTGCACACACACACACACACACACACACACACACACACACACACACACACGAGCGGACCGCGAGGCTGCATGCATATGCATGGTAGTACCTCGTGGAGTGCTTGTGCGAGCCAGGGGTAGTTTCGATCTCATAGGCAGGGCGACCGGGCCGTGGCCGGGCCGTGGCCGGGCCGGGCCTCACGCGGGGAGGCTCGGTGGCCGGGAGGAGCAGGCCGAGGAGCCAGCGGGCGGACGGGCGGACGGGCAGACAGCCGCCCTGAACGCCATGATTAGACTAGCTGGGCCGCGGCGCCGCAATTAAACTCAGATTATCGAGTAGCAAGCCGGCGGGGTGGACGGGCTGCCGGGCGGCACGGCACGGCGGCACGGCACGGCGGCACGCAGCGGATTCGATAACGCCCCCTCCCCTCCGCGCCCCACCCCGCGGACAATCACCTCTGCGAGTCTCTGCTCCACTTTTGAGACCCCTTTAAAAGGCCAATTGCGCCCTGAGACTCGTGCCGCGGCCGAATAGGCCACCTTGTGACGGCGTCCTTCGCTGACGGCGTCCTCCTGACGACGGCTTCCCTCCGACGACAGCGTCCTTCCGACGACGGCGTCTTTCCGACGACGGCGTCCTTCCGACGACGGCGTCTTTCCGACGACGGCGTCCTTCCGACGACAGCGTCCTTCCGACGACGGCGTCCTTCCGACGACGGCGTCCTTCCGACGACGGCGTCCTTCCGACGACGGCGTCCTTCCGACGACGGCGTCCTTCCGACGACGGCGTCCTTCCGACGACGGCGTCTTTCCGAAGACGATGACGATGGCGTCTCTCTGGCGACGGCGCTCCATGCGCCCAGGACAACGCGCCCGCCGCGACGCTGTCCCGGCGGACAGGCCTGCTGTGGCGTTGCCTACCCCGCACTCTGCAGGCGCTCTACCCCCAGGCGGCCGGGCCGGGCAGTCGTCCAGTGCAGGCTTTGTCCGTCCGCCCGTCCGCCCGTCCGTCTGCGGGGTGCATGAGTGAAAATGAGTCCGCGCGAGGTGGAGAGCAGAGCGCGGCCAAACTTTGCGCTGCTTCCGCGCTGCTTCGCGGCGCCGCAGTGGATGGAAACGGATGGGGAGTGGGGAAGGCGGAGGGGGGAGAGAAAAGGGAAGTGCCGCCGAGCGAAGGAGATAATGTTGCGGGATGGGGAAACAGGAAGTGGAGTCGAAAGCCGAAAGGAAGGGCAGCCGCCGTGCCCGCCGTGGCCGCGAGCCGGCCTTGGCTGCACTTGGCCCGCGGACTAGCCACTTTGCGCGCGGGCCGTGCCGTGCCGTGCCTTGCCTTGCCGTGCCTTGCCTTGCCGTGTCTTGCCTTGCCGTGCCGTGCCGTGCCTTGCCTTGCCGTGCCTTGCCGTGCCTTGCCTTGCCGTGCCCTGCCTTGCCTTGCCGTGTCTTGCCTTGCCGTGCCGTGCCGCGCCGCACCAAGCCGGGTGTGTTTTAAAAGCGTAATCGCTGGCAGTCATCAGCGCTTCGTCCGGCGAGGCGCGGCGCTGCGCGATGGCTGCGCCCTGCTGCGACGTCCGCTTTCGATTTTCACCCCACTTAACGTTAATGGCTGCACATTGGTGACGCCCCGGGGATGGCCCTCCCCACCCTGCAGGCTATGGCCCGCCAGTCCGCCATGGCGGTGTCCTTATGTGTCGCCGAACCAGCGGACTGATTCGGGGAGTCGTTTCCGTCGCTCTGTCTCTCTCGCACTCACACTGGTAAAACAAAGGCATAAAAATTACGCCCTTAAGGGCATAAATACTCTTTTACGCCCTTCCAGGGGCATAAATCGTTTTATGCCTTTGGGAAGGGCGTAAATGGTATAGGAATTTCAAGCAAAATTTTAATGCCCTTCCCAAAGGCATTAACGATTTATGCCCTTTAAGGGCGTAAATCGTTTACGCCCTTAAAGGGCATAATTTTTATGCCTTTGTTTCACCAGTGCATGGGCGCCCCGTATCCGTGCGAGAGACGGAGCGACGAGAACGACTCTCAGTCTGCCGGCGGCCTGTCCGTCCGTTTGCTTTGCCGCCCGTCGATAATCGGTGCGGATTGCCCTCCGCGTCACGTGGGCGCGGCGCCGTGTTTAGGCACCCCACTGCGAGCGGCATGGCCGGGCATGGCGAATCGGCAGGCCATGCCTAGTCGGCCTGGCTTCCTGCTTCGCTTCGTCCCCGCTAGAGGGTGCATGGAAGACAAAGCCCGGTGCCACGACACTGTGCCATATCTCTCAAAGCACGGCTGCTGCACCTGGCGCACAGTGGTTCAGGAGACTGGTGCCGGCGGCCAAAATTCTAGACACGTTTTCAGCTCTAGAGTCGCTGAATGAGACTTGAACTGAACGTGTGACCCCATCAATAAATTGCTCTCCGAACAAGGAATTCATTGGTGGGGTCACACGTTCGGTTTGAGTCCTGTTTAGCGACTCTACGGCTCAAAACGCGTTTTGAGTTTTGGCCGCCTGCACCGGACTTCTGGCCCACTGTGTGTCGTCGACACGGCCGTCGAACTGCAGGCACGCTCTGGGTGGCATGGGCGTGAGGTGGAGCCCCATTTTGGCGCCCCCCGTGGTGCCCCGCCCTCCACGCCCCTCCGAGAGCCGGAGCCCCATGTGCCGCGCTGGACCGGGCGGCCCGGACGCCCGGCGTAATCAGATCCACAGTCCATCAAAATACACGGTTCGCCTTTCAGCGGGCAGCCAGGGCGGCCAGGACAGGCCGGACAGCCGAGGCTGGCAGGCAGCAGGGCTCGGCCCGATTAGCGGGGGCTAAGCCCGTGGCGACGCCTGCCGGCCGGCCGGCCGGGCGAGGCCACTGGAGAGGCCACTCCGCCACCTTCCTCCGGACCGGTTGTTTAAACATTTATATTTTCGGAGCGCGTTGCCGCTCGCGTTGCCGCTCGCGTTCCTGCTCCTCCTGCAGTCCTTTTTGGCGGCCGGCGCGCTAATTGCGCGGTGCTCCGCCGCTCTGCTCACGTCGGCCGCGGCGCCGCGGTCACGTGTGCCGTCTTGCCTAATGCCCGGCCGGCCGCCCCGGCCGCAGAGAAAACGAGAAGGAGCACAGAAAATGAAAGAGAAAAAAAATAGAGGCTCATCTTTTTCTTCTTTT